AAAAAAAAAAAAAAAAAAAAAAAGCAGTAAAAAAAGAAAAAGAGGAGTGTGGTTCATGCTCTGGGAGCAACTAGAGGCTGGGTCCTCCAGGGAAATGCCCTGGCTGCTGGCCAGAGTGTCTGCCCTCTTTAGATCCACCCCAGGTCTTCCAGCATGCGAGGAGCAGAAGGGAACTGGCACCCAAAGTGGAGCATTATGCCCGGCACCACAGTGCATATGCAGGGGCGTGCATGGTGGCAAAAAGCAGAAGCAAATTTGTACAAGTGCACACCCCTGCATGTGAGGATGTGGCCTGGAAGGTCTTTCTATGGTCACAACTCATACATGTGGTAAGCTACAAATACTCTGGATCTATTACCTTTGAGGCTTTTCTTAGCTGCCTACACCTTAACACTTAGAGACCAGTGGCTCAAAACCCACTTATTCCTAGGTTTGTGTATATATCAGCCAAATTTAAGTTTTATTCTTGGGGTGTTTTTTTTAAAATCTTTTGAATGCTAACTTTATGTAAACTAATGTCATGCATCTTCTTCCTACAGATGCACAGTACCAATGCTTCTGCTGTCACTCAGATCAGTGGTTCTCAACCTTTTTAGACTCAAGGCATCTCTTGGAAAATTCCAGTTCTTTGACTACAGGGAAACAGTAGATTGATTTTTCTGTTGCAAAGAACTTAGAAACAGCACAATAGGTCAGAATGTTTTTAACTCCATGGATTCCTAGTTGAAATGTCTGTGTTTATCTCATGAATTGTGTCTGTACATCTAACAGCACTAGCATTGTGTGACACCCTTGAAAGGATCTAAAGGCAATTCAAATTACTGCAGCACCCTGGTTACTGCAGCACTGACTCAGATATTTCCCAGGCAACAATGAAAGGAGGACCTAAGGCTAGATCCTACTAAGCAGACTTAGGTAAGCGTGATCCTGTTGCAGCCTGATTGAGTCCCTGAAAAATTATTAATACAAAAGGGTGGTGGTTCCTCCTCCTCACTGTTTTTGTTTTATTTAGTTATAAGACTAGTGCGATGAGCAGCTCATTAGCGGAGTTGGTTAGAGCATGGTGCTACTAAAGCCAAGGTCACAGGTTTAACTGAACCTGCCTCAGGCAGGGGGTTGACCTCAATGACCTCTTGAAGGTCCCTTCCAGCCCTACTTCTCTATGATGTTACAAAAATATGGGACAAACCAAATTCATCAGTAAATCTAACTCCCTATTTTTTTCAATATTTACATCAGTGCAGATGTAGTTAGGGATCTTCTGGAAGGGCTAGACATTTTTTAAATCTGCAGGTCCAGATGCCCTTCACCCAAGAGTGTTGAGGGAGCTGGCAGGGGTCATCGCGGAGCCCTTGGCCTGGCTGTATGAGCATTTGTCATCATCTGGCTAGGTCCCAGGGGACTGGAAACTGGATAATGTGGTCCCAATTTTCAAGAAAGGGAGGAAGGAGGACCCAAGTAACTATAGGCCTGTAAGCCTCACCTCGGTGCTTGGGAAGATCTTGGAGAGAATCATCAAAGAGCACATCTGTGCGGGGCCAGCAGGGTAGATCATGCTCAGGACAATCAGCATGGGTTCATCAAAGGCAGGTCCTGCCTGACCATCCTCATTGCCTTTTATGACCAAGTAACTAAATCCTTGGATGATGGTGTCGCCGTGGACATAGTCTTTCTAGACTTTAAGAAGGCCTTTGACACTGTCTCTCAACCCATCCTCATCAATAAATTAAACAACTGTGGCATTGATGCCTGCACAGTTGGATGGGTAAAAAATTGGCTGATGGGGCGCACCCAGAGAGTAGTGGTGGACGGGTTGTACTCAACCTGGTGAGATGTGAGCAGTGGGGTCCCCCCAGGGCTCAGACCTTGGGCCCACGCTGTTTAACATCTTCATCAATGACTTGGACGAGGGGGTGAAAAGCATGCTGTCCAAGTTCGCTGATGACACTAAGATGTGGGGCGAGGTGGACACACTTGAAGGGAGAGAGAGCCTGCAAACAGATTTAGACAGACTATAGAAGTGGGCAGATGAGAATAGGATGAGGTTCAACGTAGATAAATGCAGGGTGCTGCACCTTGGGAGAAGGAATCCATAGCATACGTACAGGCCAGGGTGTTCCCTCCTTGAAAGCACAGAGGTGGAACAGGATCCTGGAGTCATTATTGACTCCAAGATGAACATGAGCCGCCAATGCCAGACTGCAGCCAGCAACGCCAGCCATACCTTGTCATTCATCCAAAGATGCATCTCAAGCCGGTCCAGAGAGGTGATGCTCCCCTCTATGCAACTTTGGTCAGGCCGCAATTGGAATACTGCATCCAGTACTGGGCGCCGCACTTCAAAAGGGATGTGGCCAGCCTGGAGAGGGTTCAGAGGAGGGCCACCCGCTTGGTGAGAGGGCAGCAGGACAGGCCCTATGAGGAGAGACTGAGGGACCTAAACCTATTTATTTATCTAAATAAAGCAACTGTAATAGCCTCTCTTAGACAGGTGGAAGAACTTTAGTGAGGAGGCTGATGCTGCTGGGGCTGTATTATACCTGGTCTGTGGATAAATTGGGGATTTAAATTTTAGTTTTATCAGTTAGGAATCTGTTACCAACCCTTAAACAATAAGCCATTGAAGAAATCCCAGACTTCTAATGTCAGGATGAGTGCTATCCCTATTACAGGCCAAATTCAGCTCCAGTAGGAACAATGGAGAACAATAGCTTTGAATCCATTTATACCAAGGCTGACATTATCCTAGAAAGTATAATTGTATAGATGTGTCTGTGGTACAAAGGGAGATATATGACACAATAGGATTTTAACATTTAATTTTACATTGTTTTAATGCAGTGTGTATGTAGGAAATTAGAAGCTGATCAGGTAAATGTCAGATTTCATTACTCATTAGTAGATATTAACTCAGAGTTAATCTTAGATCACTCAGAGCTTGTCACCTGTGATCTCACCCAAAATAATTTATAAAAGGTAAGCTGAAGGCCAAGTCATGTTCTCTGCAAGACTGGGGTATATAGACTGTGTACAGAAGAGTAGTGATCAAAAGTGGTAGTAATCTGCCTCTATATCCCCTAAAACCAGGGATTGCCAAAGTATACATATATTGTACATATATTATGTGTCTATAGCCTGATCCCTGGTTATTAAACTGAGCAGCCTACAAAGAAGTCACAGGCCATGTTTTTTTTTTGCTTCATTATTTTCCTTCATCAGAGGTCAGAAGCAGGAGCGGGGAGGAAACACTGTAGGAGCATCTTTGGTGATTGTAGACCCCTAGATGTTCCCCTCAACTAGGAAGAGTTCTCCACTGTCTATATCTGCCAAGTTTGAAGCAGCTTTGTACAGGGAAGCTACTGCAAACTGTCTGCAGTGTGGCTATGAGACTTGGATGATTTTTTTTACACTCTGTAAATATGCTTTACTCATTAATATTGATACACACACTCAAACACCTCAGCTATATCTCTGATTGCATTATCATTGCAGAAGTATAATTAACAAATTAAGAAGGAAGCTTATGATTCAGCTTAATGTGAAGTGAATCTTTGTTTAAAAAAAGAAGATAATTCAGATGTTTGAGGAGATTTTTTTTCCTGTTTTACATTTATACATTCCTTCCTCATGTGCTTTATGATGGTGTGATAGAAGAGTCGTTACAGCATCTTGCTATGGTTCCTGAGCGACAAGTTTGAGCTTCAGTTGGGACTTGTGACAAAGGCTGCCCTCCTGAGTACTCAGTCCTGACCTGTGCTGGTCATTTGGGCTAGTGAATCAAGAACAGCTGGATGTGATGCTAGTCACATCGCTCCTTTCTGGGTTGCTGGCTAGGGAAACTGATGTGCATTAATCATCATAGCCTAATGGGTCACTACACTTGGGTAAACCTCTGACATGATTTATGATAAATGATTTTAAGAAGATAAAAAATCCCTAGATGTGCTATAGTATTGGCAAATTAGGATTCACACTTATAGGAAACACACACACACACACACACACACACAAACCTGTTAAAAACCCAAACAGATGTTCACAAAAAGAAGGCATATCATGACTGGAAGGCTATGGTGGAATATGCCAGTTGGGGGCTTTAATAAATTTACTTAAACATCTAAATGAGCTTTTCAGCCACTTATAACAGCTTAATTTAAGGATGCTAACTTATGCACAGGAAACTTGTGGAAATTATCACATAGCTAACCAACGCCTGATTAATAATGAAATATTGCTTTAAATATTCCAAAACTAGAAACCCCTACTTTGTTCACTGAATGAGGACAATATAGCTCTAGCATGCAGGTTTCTCCTTTGTTCTGAAAATATGGGCACTTTCCTAGAAGATTTCATGATAAAATAAATGTCCCCAATAACTGTAATAATAATACTAACTGTGACAAAAGTACCCTTATCTGTCTGAACAGAAGTTGTGATTGGTGCTCAGTTCTAAAATCAACTGAAGAAATATGCAAAAATTGATGAAGTTCATTTCCTTTTTCTACCTCCTCTCCTAGAAACACCTTTCAGGTGATCTAAAATTATGAGAAACCATAATCATTAAGGATTGATCATGCTAATATAATTTTCCGGATGGCTTATTAACCTACTAAGACATGTTTCTCTATTTCCCTTCATTAGCAACAGCAATAATTAGGTCAGGACAGAGTAGCAAAATTGATCATATGATACTGCCCAAGGGGATGGAGGATGTATCATGTACATTTTGCATTATGTTCTCTGAACTCCAGATACATTAATTATATTTAGTAACATAGCTATTTGCTGCCTTTGATAAAAGGAATCCATTAACATAGATATTGTATAACAGAGGCTTATTTTTTCTGTTCCAAAATTGAATGGGTTTTCTTAAAGTTCATTACACAAAATGAGCCAAGACAAGAAAACATGATTGTCTCAAATATCTACTGATAACACATCCTTCTCTTATTTTACTGTCGGCTATCAGTCTCCTTGTGAAAGCAGCATTTAGAAAACAGAATAGAGGGTGAGCTTTTACTATGAAATTGAAAAGGGATTGTTATTCTATATCCTTCAGGAGTACGGACATGGTTCTCTAACAACACTGTTTTCTAACTTGAAAAAAGAAATCTTACAAGCATAACTGAAAAGATGGATATCTGGGTGAAATTTCAGACAGCATCTCTACAGAATGAACTCTGTACCTTGCATTTATATCACAATATATATTTAAAAAAAGTATTATCTGAATGGATAACAATGAATAAATAGTAGTGGTAGTCTGAACTTATTTTAAGATTCAGGTCTCCCTTCGCATAACTACTGGGCTAATTACAGAGTCAAAAAGCTTAAGGCTGAATCAGTTCAATCTTTGCAGGTTAGTCTAAGCTGCGCAGACTGAACTAAGAAGCAAGTGAACAGACATGCACTTCTCATTCCAGAAATGCAGCCACATGCTTGAAGTGGCTCATGCCAGAAGCAAGGGGGGCACTAGAGCACACCTCCCTGCTCAGCTGGAGCAGACAGCTTGGGCCGAGGCTAGCCCACCCACCCTGTGAGGAGGTATTTGTGGGGGAAGGAAAAACATCCAGGCATGCTGGGAGACTGTGTATTAACTTTAATCTGGAGCGGATCTGGGACAGAAGTTCAATGAACCGATTTAACCTAAATCAGTTAAGTCTGATATTACATCCATACAGGTTTATCTTAAACTGGTTTCAACCATTTTAAAAGTGGTTTATGTACACTGAACTTTTGTTGTGTTACAGATCTGAACTGGTTTCTAATTACTTATACTGGTTTATGTATAACTTCTGGCCCTAGCCCTGCTGACTTCAAGGGTGCAGGATCAAAAAGTAGCTGTGTAAAGTTTTAGTACCACACACTCGCATAATACACTACATTTCTAACGAGTAACATTGTTACTCCAGTCC